TCTCTCTCTCTCTCTCTCTCTCTCTCTCTCTCTCTCTCTCTCTCACACACACACACACACAATGCAATCCACTCTCTCTCTCCCATTTTCTCAGGCGGCGTTCTCCAGATCGAATCGCCATTTCGGTTCATCTGCTGCGGCATCTTCTACCCCGAGGAATCTCCGGTTCTGCGGACTTCGGCGAGAGGCCTTTTGTTTATCTCCGCCGAATCGGTCGGCTTCGTGCCGTTTTCAAGTTCCTAGCAGGAGGCTCGAGGTTTTCGCTGCCGCAGGTAATGGTGCTCCGCCGAAATCGTTCGATTACGATCTGATCATCATCGGAGCTGGAGTTGGCGGCCACGGAGCTGCATTGCACGCCGTCGAGAAGGTGTGCTTTCGTATTGATTTCGGTTTTGAAAGGATATAGAGTTGGGACAAATTTGGAAAGGATCAAGTCAAATGCTACCGCCATTTGCTGAGATTCTAATTTCATAGTGGTGTGATTAGCCAGAAATTGAATACAAATTTGCACCCTTTTGGCGTTTATCTTATTTTCAGATGGGGTGCTTTTTAGCTGGATAAGTCTTACTCTATGGAACCTTGAGATCTTTAAGTTTTGTTTTACTTGTTCGGGTAACCTGCTATGGACCCTTCGAAGTCATTAAGTTAGTGATGAATCGAATGGCGTACTTTGAAATGATATGCTTTGCCTATTAGTCTTGTAGACTAGTGATTATTTGGGCGGGTGAATTCGCTGAATGAATACTAACTTAGATTTATACTGGAAACAAATGCTCCCTTTGTTTCAAAAGGGTAAGAGAGCGTGTAGTAGCATGCTATTTGGTGTGCTCATCTATTCTGTAATCATACTATCGTTCCGTAGTCAGTATCCCCTTTCTTATATTCTTCTTGAAGGGACTAAAAACTGCCATCATTGAAGGAGATGTTGTTGGAGGGACTTGTGTTAACAGAGGGTGTGTGCCTTCCAAAGCTCTCCTCGCAGTTAGTGGTAGGATGCGGGAACTCCAGAGTGAACATCACATGAAGGCCCTTGGTCTGCAGGTAATATGGATTAATCTCACCTCCTATATGATTGCTGGTTTCATCATGTTGTTTTACTTTAAATGTATCCTTATGTTGTAGGTAGAACTGTCTTCTATTTGTCTCTCTGTAATTCTGTTTTGAAAGCTGGCTTCTAGTCCACTGAAACGATTGTAGATTCTCAAGTTTTGTTAATGAAGATGTGTGTTCCTCTCTCTATCTATCTTACTGTTTTTCTTGCCCCTGACCAACAGGTTTCAGCTGCCGGATATGATCGGCAGGGTGTTGCAGACCATGCTAATAACTTGGCTACTAAGATTCGTAACAATCTGACCAATTCGATGAAGGCACTTGGAGTTGACATATTGACCGGAGTTGGCACAGTTCTGGTCAGTATGTTCTTGTCTTTTATCAACTAGCCAGACTTGACACGTTTGTTAATTGACAATCCTAACTCTTTTAATTCCTTTTTATGTATGTGCAGGGCCCACAAAAGGTTAAATATGGAAAAGCCGGTTTCCCCGGAAATATTGTCACTGCAAAAGATATAATCATTGCCACCGGCTCTGTACCTTTTGTCCCTAAAGGAATTGAAGTTGATGGTACGTGTCTTTGTTCAAAGTTCAAACAGAGATATGCTGGAAGAGCCTCAAAGAATTGAAACGTGACAGAAATGTTTTCGCGTGGAAAGCGTAGATAATATATACTTGCAAGCTCAGCGAGATTTATTAAGTGCATATTTTGGTTCTCAGGAAAGACTGTCATTACAAGTGACCATGCACTGAAATTGGAAACCGTTCCTGATTGGATTGCAATAGTAGGAAGTGGTTATATTGGCCTCGAGTTCAGTGATGTTTACACGGCACTTGGAAGTGAGGTAGCTTGTTTATATTTAATTAGGTGATTCAACACTGCTTGTTCCTATGACAAGGTTTCCTATTTTGATGGATGAGTGCAACTGACTAGGTTCTCCATTTCCTAGTTTTACTTTATTATAAGGTTGTGATTATTTTGATCTAGTTGTCAGCGTTGATAGTTGCAACACAGGTCATAAAATAATGCTCTGTATATTTGTAGATCATACCGAGAATGAGGCATCTCTATGTTTCGTTTACCTACATTCTGACCTATGATATTGTAGTTTTAAAATGGTCCAAATTTAGGAAATTGTTTTGTGCAGGTAACTTTTGTTGAAGCTCTGGATCAGCTAATGCCTGGATTTGATCCGGAGATCAGTAAGTTAGCTCAAAGAGTTCTGATAAATCCAAGAAACATTGACTATCACACCGGTGTGTTTGCAAGCAAAGTAAGCCGCCCCGTACCGCCCATGTTATAAATATCTCTTCTATTTCTATGTGATGTTTCCACATGTTTTCTTTTTGCTTTAGCCTTTTAACTATATACTTTTATAGATCACTCCAGCAAAGGATGGGAAACCAGTGGTCATTGAGCTTATCGATGCCAAAACCAAGGAGCCTAAGGACAAATTGGAGGTATTGAAATGCCATTTGTAAGAGCTATCAGTTTAGGTAGAACCTACGTCAATCTCATAAGTTATCTTTCTGAAAGGACTGATGATGATCTGAAAGAGAATGATTGCGACTACTACTCATGCCTGGGATCTATTATCATGTTTGATCAGATACTTACCTTTGATAATTGAGCTTTACACGACTTTTGCTTTTTTAATTTTCTGCTTCACAGCAATATCGACCACTCTTTAACTCTTACCCTCGTGTGGTTCAGTGCTTGGCAAATACACATGTAGAAGTAGAAGAAATGTCAACATGGATGCATGAAGAATACATTCTATATATTAATATATTTGTTTTCTCTTTCTAAAATTCTGGTCCTTTTCTCCCGAAAAAGAAAAGGAAGAACTGTCTCCTGCTTCTATCTCAATTAACACTATAAGATGCTTTGCACTCAAAAGTGTGACCTTTTGTTCTCTTTCTAGGTAGATGCTGCTCTTATTGCTACGGGAAGAGCTCCATTCACTAATGGTCTTGGCCTGGAGAATGTATGGCCCGACAAAAACTCGTATACATTTATGAAAAGACTCCGTGGGATTAGATGGTTGTCAGAAAGATAATGTCGTATCTATTCTTTTCACACAGGTCAATGTTGTGACACAGAGAGGTTTTGTTCCAGTTGATGAACGGATGCACGTGATTGATGCAACTGGAAATCTGGTTCGTTTTATTTGTGGACACATCTTTATTTACGCTTGGCCTATCTCTCGGAAATGCTAATGTCAGTTTTGATTGATAGGTTCCGCACTTATACTGCATAGGCGATGCCAATGGTAAAATGATGCTCGCTCATGCAGCCAGCGCCCAAGGAATCTCTGGTAATATGAATGTTCAGTGATGAACACGCCACTATATATAACATTGGAACTTCTTTGTCTTTTTTTTTTTCCTTTTCTTTTGGTGGGTTCTGCCACGTATTAAACTCTTCTGTGTTTACTCTTTTGTGGCCAGTGGTTGAGCAAGTTACAGGTAGAGATCATGTGCTTAATCATCTTAGCATCCCGGCTGCTTGCTTTACTCATCCTGAAATCAGTATGGTGGGATTGACAGAGGTAATTCTAGACCCTAATGGACACGGGTTTTAACAACTGATCTAAAATGACTGATATATAATTGTAACCGAATCGAGTACAGTATAAAAACTAAATGGTTATGATTTTCCGAAAAAATTGAATCTGAACTGAGCCAAATTGAATAAAATATAACGAAAAATAAAAAATTCTTTGGAAAATATGCACTTTCATCTACAAAAACCGAATTCAAACCGACATGAACCAAACTAAAACTGAACCGAATTCAATATGAAAACCAAATGGTTATAGTTTTTTTCGGACTGAACCTAAAACGAAACCCCAAATTGCCACCCCAGTTTTAAGTACCGTAATCTGTTCACCGTTAATGCCTTAAAAGAACTGACAAGAGTCCCTCAATTGGCAGCCTCAAGCGAGAGAAAAAGGTGAGAAGGAGGGATTTGAAGTAAGTGTTGCCAAGACAAGTTTCAAGGCTAACACAAAGGCTCTGGCTGAGAACGAAGGGGAAGGACTCGCTAAGGTCAGTAGAAGCATTTTGGGATGAAAGCACCACACTGCATTATTTATGGTTATAGACTCATTAAAAAGCCCTTTCATGTGTGCAGATGATATACCGACCTGACAATGGTGAAATCCTCGGAGTTCATATATTTGGGTTGCATGCAGCAGACCTTATCCATGAAGCATCCAATGCAATTGCCCTTGGAACAAGGATTCAGGTAGGACCTTTGGCCAAGGGCTGCGCATTTTGATTTTTGATTCGGGTTTGATTTAGTTTTATTCGGATTCGGTTTTTTCAGTTTATAGAAAATCTATATCCATTCGGGTTTTATATTGGATTGGATTTGGGCTTGGTTCGATTTCGTTACGGTTTCGTTTTTTAATGAAAAATGCTTCTTTTCTAAAGAAATTTGTGGGTTTTCGGTTATTTTATATTCGGTCCGAGTAAGTTTTTTCTATTGTAAAAATATTATAACCATCGCACCCAATTCGGTTACGGTTACGTGTTATTCAGTTTAGATAGGTTCGGTTATTTTATATTCGGTTCGATTACGTTTTTTCTAAGTATTTTGGTTGAAGTCAGACGAATGAGAGATATCATATAGTGGTAATGATTTCTGTGTGCCATTGCAGGACATAAAACTCGCGGTTCATGCTCACCCTACACTGTCTGAAGTGCTTGACGAACTGTTCAAGGCGGCAAAGGTAAAAGATAATTGACTCCATCCGGATAGCAAAAACGCCATCCAGTAAAAGTTATTCATCGAGGCGTAATCTTTATGGGAATATCAGGTAGAGAGTCATGAGGAGGCAAGGAGAGTAAGTGCGGAAGTGGCTGTATAAATATGATTCCTTTGGGGGGAGCATTTTTGGTTGCAAGCAGAATGTGAGAAGGGACGAGGAGAGTACAGATTTAGCCGAAGCTAAGAGGGTCTGTGATGTTGTAAATCTTTTTTTGTGGGATGGTGTATTGTCTTTGATTTCTCGCATATTTATTTGTCTTTCCCT